CAAGATCTGATAAAATATCCTTTTTTACCTCCCTTTTCAGTCTTAAATTCAAGGCTATTCAGGACTCTTGCCAATTTGCCAATTTACAGCTGTGGAATTACCTAACGTGCAAGTTTTTTCAAAGCATTCGGTGAGTGACGTGGAAGTTCAGCAGGAATGCCCCTGTTGGTGGCGTCTTATTAGACCTCTAGCACAATGCAGCTATTTTAGTTTCTACCAAGACTCCTTAGAGGAGGAACTGGTCTCTTGACCCATCCTATGACTTCCAGATTCCAATTTCCTAAAGCACTACAGCCTCTTATTATTGCATTTGAAAGATTTAAAGTATTACTTTTCCTCATGCCAAGAAACACAATGATGCTTTCAATAAAGTTAAGAACAATATGAACCATTACTATTTACCGGCATATTCTTTACATATACTGGTATTTCCGTCATTTGGGGAGGTCATTTGTCAGATAATTTCCTTTGTAACGGAGTTAATCCTTACCAAGAATAAAATTAATAAACCTGAGAACAGTAGAAAAACTAAGACAGAGATTTGGTCTAGTAAAACTTTATTAATTGGGCTTCCACTAATGCATAATTTGTGATGTTATGTCCTGGGTTAGACCAAATGCTACTGCTCACTAGTGATTAAGAAAAGACTTGCTATGTAAGAAAACAAGACCAAGCCAGGGTGAGGGGCTAGTGGAGTGGGGAGCCATCTCAAACCTTCTTATGAACTGATGAAGACAGAAAGCCTCTAAAAGCAGCTTGCTCGGGAAACTTGTGGCAGGCTCAGCATGCTGGCACATACTTTGCAATCTGTTGAAACAAGGCAGGGCGCTACCTTCAAGGAGTTGGAATCCAGTGCACTATGGATTTGACTGCAGTGTACCATGGACACAAACGGATTCTGATGTTCAGATACAGGCAAACACAACCTGAGCTCTTGGTTTGAAAGTAGCTACAATTGGGGACTGGGCCGGTGGCATAGTGGTTAAGTTCATGCATGCCACTTTGGTGGCCCAGGGTTCGTAGGTTCAGATCCCAGGCTTCGACCTACACACCACTCATCAAGCCATACTGTGGTGGTGTCCCACATACAAAATAGAGGAAGATTGGCACAGATGTTAGCTCAGCGACAATCTTCTTCAAGCAAAAAGAGGAAGATTGGCAACAGATGTTAGCTGAGGACCAATTGGCCTCACCAAAAAAAAACCACGTAGCTACAATAGAATTTAGAGTATTGAATAAGAAATAATAATATTGGATTTAAATACATACAATATATGACATCACATAGAGTGTACACGCACACACACACACACACACACACACAAAATGAATGTCCTTAAAGCTTTCTAATAGCTATAGAAATTATTAGGTGCTTTCCTGCAGCTCTGACTTCTCTCTATGTAAAAATAGACCGCTATAGCTTTCAGGAGATGCTGCCTTTGGCCAGCTTTCAGTCCAGTAAGAACAAAAAACAAAGGCAGATTTCCAAATAATTCACTTTATAAAAATGTCTGCCTGGACACTGAATTAGTCTAAACTTCTATATTGACAAATGAGTGGCATGCTGTACTTGATGTGATAATGAAGGTTCATAGACTCCTTCCAATCTCTCCCAGATTGTTGGTAAATTTTTAAACCTAAATTTGAAAACAGGTGTGTTTTACTAAGAAAAGAAACCACTTGCTTATTTTTACAGTATCAAATACCAGGTTCCGTTTAATTTTTATGTCTAATGTCTTAGATCGCCCAGTTTAACAGATGAAAACATTACTGTGATCACACACTTCCTTTCAATGATTTTTTGGTATTTTCCTTAGGTACTATTTATGCAATTGCATTATTTAGTCCTCTAAGCTTAAAGCTTAAAAAACTTAAAAATCTCATTCGATCTATAAATCTAGCTGGGTTAGACTCATAGTAACAAGAGTAACAGCCACAATTTTTTAAACACCTACATTATGCCAACATCATTATAAGAACTTGATATAAATTAATCTCATTTTACGCCCGTTTCATAGATGAGGATGCTAAAGCTCAGAGAACTTCAAATATTGTTCATGTTCCAATAACTAGTAATTGGCAACTTCAATATTAAAGCTCAGCTCTGCAACACTCCAGAGTCCGTGTTCTTGCATTGTGACAAAATCCCTTCGCAGTCTTCCAATCACTTCCGCTGCTCTTCCTAAAGGGGGCAAAATGGGCTGACTTCATAGCTCACTGCCCTCCATCATCTTGTGATTATCCAGGACCTATATTCCAATTTCTGAATTATCTATGCCCCTATTGATCTTTCCCTTTCACACCATTTGCTTCTTATTAGTAAGCTTCCTGGGCCATGAAACGTGGAAGGACTGAAGTTTGAAATTTGTGAATATTCTTATTCAAAATTCTAAAGCAATTGTAACGTTAAAGAAGGCTGAGGCTAAGGTCTGAAGTGACCTCAGAGTTAACCTGGATTTCTGCCCTCGGCTCCTCCCCTTGAAAAGAAGGGCTTACTACTGCTATATGTAGTTGTTCAGTTTATTTAGCCCAACCACACACCCGCAGGTGTGCTCAGACCCTCTCTCCGCATTTGCTATTTGTAAAGCTCTTAGAATATCTAGCACGTGACATATTGTTATTGTTTATTTATTTATAAATAAATAGATAAAATAAAGAGATAACTTACTGAATCCTCAAGAACCCCATATAGTAGATACTATTATTATCCTCATCTTACAGATGAGGAAACTAAAACACAGTCATAACTGGCAGTGCTGGAATTCAAATGGCTCCAGAGTTAGACTAGCTCTCAACTCAGCCAGAAAACTGTCAGTTGGTAATTCATTGACATATCCTCTTCTCAGGGGAAGTAATTCATGGACGGTACTTTGTGCTTTGTACTGAGGGTCCACGGTGATGGTATTTTTACCATCAGGTGATATGCTTGAGTGATGCGTTTACCTCATATCCACTGTTTTTAGAAAGTGAAAAATATACTAAAGACAATGCCATTTGCTCAGGAGTGCTATTGGCAGTTTCATGATATGATGCCTAAGAGAAGGGAAGCATGCCCAGCATCAGCTTTACTACATTTTTTTTGGAACTTAATTTTGTTCTGACCTTAATGTGTCCGTAAAAATTCAGGTTTACAGCTTCATCATTGGGTGGGGAGTTTGTCTAATTCATCTTTTATTTATGGTACCTAGCACAGTTCTTGGCTCATAGTAGAAGCTCAATAAATATTGATTTGAAATAACGAATGCTATTAAGTGAAAACCAAGGAAACGTTATCATTCTTAAACCTACTCTTCAGGTTTTTCTTATGAAATGAATTAATATCTCTCAATTATTTACCAGAAATTAAATTCTATAATGTTTAATGAACCAGAAGGCATATCACATCTTGCCAAACTCCTGTACCATTTTCCCCATCCTTGGAATTTTCTTGGTTATTGTGACACTTTACCTATTGTAATATTCTCAACAAAGAAAACGGAATAGCCAAGCTGCTGTTAATAGCTTTTGAAGTGAATCAATTTATTGTCATAGCAACCAAATTTTACAAAACAGATCAATTAAAAAAAGATTTAAATTCAAACTAGCAAGTGAATGTTCCTAGAAAAATGGGATAAACTACTCCATTTTTCAAAAAGTAACAAGCATAAGTCTTTCTGCCTCTGACAGATTTTCCAAGGTAAAGGATACAACCTATCCAGAGTCCAAATTGCATACAAGAATGGAGGAAAAGTAGAAACAATAACGATACCCAAGCATCTAGCAAATCGGTAGATGTAGGTCCCTGCTCTGCCCCTATGCCCACTTAATTCCAGCTCCTCCTTCAGCTCTTGAATCATCCTACAGATTCCAGAAAAGCCCTCCCTGACCTCTACCTCTCCCTAGGTCTAGGGGAGAGCCAGTGGTGAAAGAACTCACAGCACTCTGTGTGTCTTTTCTTTGTACCAGTTATTAACTTGTAATCATGCCTCTATTTGTTGTAGTTGTTTGATTAATTGTCATCTTTCCCTCTTGAAAGACATCCTTCTTGAATGTGAATTGCATGAGTTCAACAACTGAGTCCATCTTCATTCTCCTCATATACCCAAAGATTATCATGAGATCTGAAACATGGAAGATACTCAAAAAATGTTTGTTGAAAACACGGTGGGCAATGTCCTCTGCAATATTTGTACAGCACATGCCATAAGAATTTAGTGGGCTTTTTCTCAGGTGTCCTTAAAAAAAAAAGATGGGGGCAAAATGTTAAAGTGCGTGTCAGCAGAAATGATTCTACAACAAGCCGAAGGATGATGGTCCAGTTATACAACCCGAAGCTTAGACTGGGAAGCCTTATCCCAGCGTGAAATTTAGATTCCTAAAGGGAATACTGCTCATCTCTCAGCTGGCCTTTTAATAAGAACTGATGACTTCACTATGCTCTCAAAGGCCTTCAGTCCAGAGTGATCCATGTGAGAGATTCATATGCATGACACATTCCCACCGGCCTACACCAGAGGGTGAATAATTCCATTAATTACCATTCACTCCAGACTTTTCTCTCCCACTTAAGGAAGCCTATTTGTAACTGAGTGTGAGTGACTTACTGTAAGAAAGAGCCTTGGATTTGATTTAATTTATAAGAAAACATGAACCATTCACAAACATCACCACTTTACAGAAACAAATCATTCATGTCACACAACACAGTTGGTGGTGATGGACAAATGTGTCAAAACGATTTAGTGGAGAATGGCAGCCCTGAGGTGAGCCCTTAGGGTACCCATAGAAAAGCCAACACTTCCTTCAGAAAGCACCTTGAAATCTGTTTTAGGATACAAACAACTATTCAGGTACATCACTGACAATGTTATGCCACAGTTTTGCACCAAACTTCTTTTCTTCTAGCAGAAAAGAACTGCCTTGGGAAGCTATACAATCAACAGGAAAGCAGAACTAGGCTCAGAAAAGTAAGGTCCTCAACAGACCTCTTGAAAGACCAAAAATGAAAGGAAAGTGCTTTAACTGTACTTTTATTTATCGTTGATTCTCACCTTGCTTAAAGCTTAAAGTCTAGACAGAGTCCGGTGGCTTGTCTTGGGTCATGTTCCCACACTGGTTAGAGAAGGGCAGGTGGCCTGGTTTGTAGTCTCACCAAGACCACACAGTGGCTGAGAGGAAAGTCCCAAGTGGAAACCAGGTTAGTGCTGCCAAAAGAAAGACATGTGAATGAAGAAGTTCACCACTGGAAAGGCCAAGCTTAGGCCCGGCCAAATAAAAGAACTACTGTTCTAGAAGAGAAGATCCAAACATAGTGCGTCTATAGACCTACTCTCTTTACATGGTCTCTCTGCTCAACCCCCGACTCCTTCCTTCTGCCTCTACTGAGTCACTTGATGGAGGAGGTGTCTAAGTTTGTCATTTTGGCCATGACTTTTCTAGTATTCTAGTCTCATCCATGGGGGCCTGTATGCTGGCTAGTTTTCACTTTTTCTTCCCTCAATGATAATTTCCGTATGGACAGATTTCTCAGAACTGTCACTTGAAGTTCTCTCTGGTATTCTGAATATCCATACAATGCCCAAATTTCTCCAATAGCTATTCTCCACTCTGCACAGGATGCCCTGGAACTGACTGGAATGAGGATTGAAATACTTCACAGACACCTCCACCTCTCCCAGAGTTGGTGTCTAATGGCTAATGATTTTTAACCCCAAAATCTTAGAAGGTAGACATTGCCAATTGTATAGCATCAACCATAAAATCCTTTAATGGTGTTTCCGTGCCTGCTACAAGATTTCCTGGTGAACCAACCTGAATAAATTAGGTTCAAATTCAACCCATAACTATATGAATTATATCCAATTAAATCCAATCTTGTTAGATTTCAGTCTAATAGACTTCAGCCTATTATTTTATTTGGTCATGTTCTCTTTGACCCTGATTCTATTACCCTTTGTATTAAACCTTTCTTCTAATCTCTTGTCACCTGAAAATTTGATCAGCACTATTTGATACAGAAGTCAGCTGGGACAAGACAAGAGGATAACACAGTGGCACTTTTGTCAGCCTCTCTTCAGGCCGGCCAACATCTTCTGGTTCCTCTGCTCTGAATATGACCCTTCCATCAATGTCAGCTCTTTCTAGACATATTATCATATTTCCTCGTCTTGTCTGCCAGAATATCATAAGAGATATGCTATCATTTCCCTGATCATTTCCTACATTTTCATAATCATATTAGAAAATAACAACAATAAAAGAAAGGTTATGAGGTTGTTTTGGTGTGATTTCTAAGAGATCATTGATTTTGTTTTTAAATGATCATAAATAATACATTTAATAATCCATTCCAATGTTTCCCTAGGCGTTGAATCAAACATACTTCCCAAATTTTTCCCTTTTGGAAACTTAGAACAAGTTTCTTCCATTTTTCCATTTTTGATCACTCTTTAGAGTTCAACTATGGCTCCTCTTGAAACCTTTAGGATGAATTTATTAAAACCAGGAAAATTGAACATTTAAAACATTTTGGTGCTCTTTTCACCTGCATTGTTTCTTTAATCACCTCTTAACTAGGATTGCTCTGTTATTTCTGGTGTAAAGAGCACTCTTGACAGAAAGATGGAACAGAAATAGAGTTGAGTAGTATTTCTCTGTCCACTTCATCAGTATCTTAACACAAACTATCCAACAGAGAAGACTTGCTCTTTCTCATTGTTTTCCCTCTGAACACATGGTAGAAATTCATTAATTAATGTGACCCAGCTAGAGTAGTTGATAGATTAACTGTGTGCATGTGTGTGTGTGTGTGTGTGCGCTTTACACTTAAACTATCTAAGGGTACATTGTTTGACCACTCCTTTGATGCAAAGTGAAGGACTATTCTTTGAGTGTGAATCCCCTGTTTGGAGTTCTGCACTACTTTCTTGCTTATACCATACTTCTATAACATAGGCTACACTCTTCCACCTTGGGTTCCTTAAAGTGAAATAAAAATTTAAAACTCTAGCAAAATAATCTGAGTGCAGTAATCTTCCAGATTTTTACAATTTTTCCCAAAGTCTTTTGGTTATAATGTGAAATGGTTTCTTTTATTAATATTTTTAGCCACTCATTTTTACAGTCTTTCTATGTTTAATTTAGTATTACTTTCTTAAAAATTCCTTTCCCAGTCTTTTCATGACTTTGCATAATATTTAACTACCACAATATAAAACTGGCATAAACTGAGAAGAAACACAATTGAACGTTGGGTTGCACACAGCTCCAAGGGTAGGTTTGTCTGGTACTCATAGGTGTTATAGAAAGAGCCTAGGAACCATGAGCCTTCGGTGGGCTGTAGTCTTTAACGTGGATGTTTTAAAAACAGGAGAAAGAGTGTCAATTAATCTGGCATCCCATTATGCAGAAGTCAGTTAGGAGAATTTATTCATAACTTTTTTTTTTTGAGGAAGATTAGCACTAAACTAACATCCGCTGCCAATCCTCCTCTTTTTGCTGAGAAAGATTGGCCTTGAGCTAACATCTGTGCCCATCTTCTTCTACTTTATATGTAGGACGCCTACCACAGGATGGCTTGACAAGCAGTGCGTAGGTCTGCACCCAGGATCTGAACCGGTGAACCCTGGGCAGCCGAAGTGGAGCACTCAAACTTAACTTGCTATGCCACTGGGCCAGCCCCTATTTGTAACTTTTCAAAACTCCTTTTTATGATTCTCAGCAGTTTTCACAAACCTCAGCGTCTTAGAGCTTTGTTCTATAATATAATGGAATTCTTACAGGGTATTCTTCTTTGTCATTTTCCTTTTGGGCTATGTCTTCTGCCTTCACTCTTTGCTATGAATCCTTAAAGACTGAGAGCTCCCTGTAGCAATCACCTCATCTTCTTTAAAAGTGTCCTCTTTATTGTATCAGTAGATTTCCAATATTGGTAAATTTGGTTTAACCCTATTCAAAGAAACCACAGTTTATTGCATGCCTACTATCTGCAAGGCACTGGGCTTCTTTTCCTCCAGCAGCTTCCCTTTCTGATCTTTAGGCTATGGGAACATGCTTCCATTTCCTGTTATTGATTTATCTATTTTTCTAATTTACCATCCTTAAATATGATATACATCTGGTATTCTCTTATTTTCTTTTTTCTTGGTGTTTTAGTAAAGAATTCTTTTGGTTTCTGGTGTCAGAACTCTCTGACTTAAAGAGAAGAGTGTGTGAGAATGTGTGTGCGGTTGCATGTGTGTGTGCGGTTGTGTGTGTGTGTGCGGTTGTGTGCGTGTGTGCGGTTGTGTGTGTGTGTGTGTGTGTGTAGGAGAACTTCTTTCCTTCTGTGGCTGAAAGTCTAGAGGTAGGTCTCCTGGCCGGGATTTAATCCAAACCTTTAGTGTCCTCAGGCCTCGGGCTCCACTTCCCTGAGGTTTCCTTGGCTTTGACCTCATCTGGGAGTCAGGTTTGTCCCAAGGCTGGCTCCTCTCATGAAACTAAAAAATAAGTTGAGTGTTTAGTCATTTAATATGTCTTTTACCATCAGGGTAACCTCCACAAGCACAGGGGCTGCATCTTGTTTTTTTATACCTCATTATACCCAACATCTAGCATGGTGTCTGGCACAAGGTAGCTACTCAATAAACATTTCTTGAAGGAATAATGATTGCTTGTCATAAGCCAGTCACTGAGCTAGGTGTTTTGTAGATCTCATCTCCAAAACGTGTATGAATTTAAGACTGGAAGGTCACAGTCTAAGGAATGTCACTTTTTTCTTTTTTATTTCTCTAAATCAAATTGTATTTGCTCCAAACCCCCAACCTCTGGGTTGATGAGAATTTCAATCTTAGCCATTGGGGTACTCCTCACCACTCTATTTTATACTATGTAAAAATACTGAACTTATTCAATGCCAAAAAACTGGGTGAAAAGCAGTTTCTTTCACCCATAGTTGCTGCAGTCGTCGTATTTCTTGGTCCACTGCACATGGGTGAACATTTGCCAACGCTGTCTGCCCCAAAGGCCACCATCCTAGGTGGACTCTCAGAGATCTTCCTGCCTGACCCCTGACTCCACATCTCACACTCATTTTCTATCGGAGGCTCTTTGTGCCACTGGCTTTTTTCACACCATCCCAGGTTGGGGAAACAGACTCACCTCAGGTGCCACCACTTCTACCTCCACCACCCAAAGTATTTGCCTACATCTCTGTGACAAATCAAATAATTCCTCTCAATGAGCCATTCCTAGGATGGAAGTAGTCAAAGGCAATGTTAATACAAGTTACTCTTTTACTTTTTAAGTTAATAACTCTTTCCCATATTTCATGGGTCTGTGTTTTATTTAAGATGGTCCTCAAAATGAGGGTTAACAAACTGGAAAGTTGGCCACTCTGGACCACATTCAGCTAGTTCACGGCAGGTTCTGTATATTTATCTATCAGTCTCTAATACGTTCTCCACATTCTAGGTAAAAAAAAAATGTGAAATGGTCTCCTGGACCCTTTTGTGGGTCTTTATACCTTTTTCCTGCCCTCACTAAAGGAAGCAGTACTAAGCACATCCACCTAATTAGACGGAGGAAAAATGTATCAAGTGGACACTTCATCCAAAATGTAAGCCAGCACTAACACATTTCCGCATTCTAACTCTAGTGGGCCATAATTTGACTGGTATCTTGACTGCCCCATGTTGCATTTTTCTCCTAGTTCAGTAGCTATTGGAAATTTTATCACCAGCTTTGTTTTATCCCTCCAACAACATACCGATATCAACTACCAGTACGATATGACCACAGACAACAAAGGAATCCTGTGTGCTCAACCACAGTTCTAGCCACAAGCAGAGTGGAACTTTCTTTTCCAGGAAAGAAGTTAACATGGTCATTTCTCCCACAGCAGTGGTCCCTAAATCCAATATGAAACCATCTCTTATCGCTTTAAATCAAAACACGTGCTATATGAAACAACTGGTTAATCATATTAAATATATTTTAAACATGAATTGGGGGGAAAAAAACAGAGTCTTGGTTGTTGGTTTTTAATGTCTTGATGGGTTTACTAAGCTGAAAAGACATGAGGGAGTATGCAGTCCTCTGGTCAACCCAGGTCAGTCTAGAAGCTGTGTGAATTATCTAAGTACTTGTACTCAAACTACCTACATTATCTAAATGAGCTGGATAATCTATGTAAGCTGAGGTCCACGTAGGTACAGTCTTGGCTGACACACATCCTAGAAACAAAACAAAACAAAAATAATGATGCTCAAGTTCACAAAATTAGTTTGGAATACTCACAGACATTCTCTGAGCGGTGACTGTTGGCAATCCTTCCTTCCTCTTCTGCTGGAAAGGCTCTAAGAAAGGCTTTCTCACATTATCCTAGTACTTATAATATGGCCTAGAAAAATGTGCAGAGGAAGACAAAAATGGGTAAATAATATTTTTAAGTTCATCCAAATTCTAGAATTCCAAATCAGCCTACTTCAGTGCAGAAGAAATATCTAGTCACTCATAGGATTCATTATTGTTTCCTGAGCTCCAGTTCCATGCACGTAAGTATGTTTATATTTTTAAATACGTAGAAATCCTTTGGGGCGAATACTAGCAACTTGGGTAATACTTTGTATCTGAGCTTCCTATAAAAGGTTGGCTAACACCATTTCGAAAGAAAGAGCCGTCCCTGAGTGCTTCTGTTAAGACCTGTAGTCCTCTTAGATAAGATGCCCTCCTTCATTGGCTCACTTCTTCTGCCTTCTAGGTTTAGAAAAGTGTGAATAGTCTTCATCCTCACTTTAAAATCCATTCAAAATTGCCTTGCATAAAGTAAGGCAACTAAATTTGAAGTTTAAAATAAGACAATCCTTGCAGGGAAAATCAGTCACTTATCAGCAGAGTTCCATGCAGCTCATTGGAAATTCAGAATTTGGAACACAAATTTAGAATATTGAACATGGCATTATTCATTGCCTGGCACAGAGTCATGCAAGGCAGTTAGCCAAACAAGCTATCTCTCTACTTACAGGTGAAACAACGGTTTGGAGAATCTTAAAAATTTGAAAACATTCATAAATCAACATAGGAGCTTTTCTAAGGGGGAAGTTAACACTCTGCCAAGTTAAGCGAACTAAAGAAGAAAACAAATCGGCCGTTAAAATGGCTTTCATGACAGACACTTACACTTCCTCAAACAATATCAATTAGTGTCTTTAGAACAGACTTCCTCAAGATGATATTTCAATCAGTTTATTTTCTGGATGTAAAGAGCTTTCTTCCATTGTTTCAGACTGCAGAAATAGGACAACAGGTAGTGTTGCTGACAGTAGAGTGGGGGTTTCCTGTGTGCGTAAATGCCTGAGGTGATGTAAAAATTATGGCACTTCTAGAACCTCAAATGAAAACTTTTCCCTGCCTATCAACAAGAGAATTTGTTAATGTGTGGATGTTCTCAGCTTACGTGTATACTTCCCTCTTTACCAAAAACAATTTTGTCTTTTGAGGATCAGCTAAATTTTCCCTTGTTTTCTAAGATGTGGTCTGTCTTTCCCACTTCGTTATGAGGCTATACCAAGAAAATGGATGAAAAGATATGGAATTCTAAAGAAGAGAAAAATGGAAGACAAATTCTTTCTTATGGAGTCAGTTATTGGGCTCTCCTTTGTTACAGAAAACCTAGACAAGGACTCAAGGAAAGAGCATTACATCGATCTACAGTAGAAAGAGTTAAGGAGGAAGAGTAACCAGGAGGGTAACATAGAAAAGCCTCCTGGGCTGAGTTTGGAAAGAGTTTTAAAGGTTTGGTGTTTGAAAAACTCTAGAGCTAATAGAGTTAGGGGAAAAAGAGGAGACAATTAAGATGTGTGGGGTGCGCTGTGAATTGAGTCCCTTCCATTTGTGAAAGATGCGAGGAAAAAGTCAGTCTTTTGTTGGCTGTGTCTGCTTCTTTGAGTGCCACCACATGAAGAGTCTGCGCAGCACAATGCTCTGGGTTTTATCCAGGTTACATCCACACTACAAACTAACTCACACATGTCCATATAGAGAGTCACAGTTCTGGAACCTCAAGAAGTTGTCCCCAGAATGAGGTACAGATCTTCTCCTTCAGTGACAACCAAGTCGTAATTCCTGGTGTTGCATTTGAGTTCACTATTGGAACACATCATTTGACATGAGTTTTGACTGAGCGTGGTTGCCAGTCTTTTTAGTCTTTCTCGAAGATTATAATGGTGGCGGCATTTTGTAAATACTGTAGCATTCACTTAAAACATCAGTCAATAATAGGGATAAAACAGAGCTTTTCTAAATCATCTGGTTAGCACTCCATATGTTCTCTTGTTAAAAGACAAAAACAAAAACAAATGTCTGAGAAAAAAAGCTGCTGGGCATGGGTATCATGCTTTTTCCTTTAAAGGAAATACAAATTAGCCATTAGCACGATTTGGCCTATTCACAATCTCAGCAAGTTGCTGCTTGCTCCAGGGTGTAGCTTCCTTTGCTCTTCAGCAACGCTGACGGCAGATTTGCATCCACATGATCAATTTCTGTCTGTTGACCTGGAGCCCCCTTTCACCTGCTCCATCCTGGATGATGATTCGCCAGTCCGGCTGCACAGGAGTTATCCTGAGGCTTCCTTTGCTGTCTTTCTGAGAAGTCTCTTTACGTCTCTTGGTTTGCATCACCTTTACCTGGACCAAGCTCATCCTCTTTCTCGGTTTATTACCTTGGTGAAACATACTCTCAAATAGCTCCCTAAGAAATGGTACTAAGGTTCCACATGTAAGGGAGACCATACAGTATTTGTCTTTCTGTGTCTGGCTTATTCCACTTAGCACAATGTCGTCCAGCTTCATTCATGTTGTTGGAAATGTCAGGATTTCTTTTTTTGTTTTGAGGCTGAATAACATTCCATAAAAAAGTAGAATTCCACACACCTTGGTATTTACCCAAAGGAGTTGAAAATGTATGTTCACGCAAAAACCCGCACATGGATGTTTATAGCAGCTTTATTCATAATAGACAACACTTAGGAACAACCAAGATGCCCTTTAGTAGGTAAATGGATAAATAACCTGTGGTACATCCAGACAATGAAATATTATTCAGGGCTAAAAAGAAATGACTATCAAACCATGAAAAGACATAGAGGAACCTTGAATGCATATTACTAAGTGAAAGAAACCGATCTGAAATGGCTACATACTGTATGATTCCAACTATATGACATTCCAGAAAAAACAAAATTATGGAGACAATAAAAACATCAGTTGTTGCCAGTGGTGGGAGGTGGGGGTAAGAGATGAGGAGCTACAGCACAGGGGATTTTTAGGATGGTGAAAATACTCTGTATGATATTATAATGATGGATACATGTCAGGAAACATTTGCTCAAATCCATAGAATGTACAATATCAAGAGTAAACTATGGACTTTGAGTGATTATGGGGTGTTAATGTAGGTTCATTCTTGGTAAAAAATGTAAAAAAAAAAATGTCGAATTCATAAAAGCAGAGAGTAGAATGGCAGCTGCCCGGGGAAGTGGGAAATGGGAAGGGGAAATGGGAAGATGTTGGTCAAAGCAGACAAAGCTGTGCAGTCATGCAATACGAATAAGTTCTGGAGATCTAATGTACAGCATGGTGACTATAGTTGATAGCACTGTATTGTATACTTGAAATTTGCTAAGAGAGTAGATCTTAAATGTGAAATGCTCTCACCACACCCACACAAATGCACACACACACACGGAGTAATTACATGAGATTATAGATATGTTAATTAATTTGATTGAGGTAATCATTTCACAATGTATACATATATCCAAACATCACGTTGTATGCCTTAAATATATACAGCTTTTATTTGTCAATTATGCCTCAATAAAGACGGGAAAAAATTTTAAAAGAAAGAAAAAAGAAATGGTACTAAGGGGCTAAGTTTTTGAGACTTTGCTTGACTAGGTATATTTTCATTCTGCCTTGACAACTGATTGACAGTTTTGATGAGTATACCTTTCTAGATTAAGAATTGTTTTCCCTCAGAATTTTGTCATCTAGCTTCCAGGGTTGCTGTTGAAAAGCCTGAAGTCATTTCTATCCCTGATCCTTTCTTTTTACATGACCTATTCATTTGTACATTTCTCTGGAATGCATTAGGATTTGCTTTTATCCCTGCCGTCCTGAATTTTGTAGAATGGTGCTGGGCGGTTTGTATTTTTATGGGTCCCTGCCATGATGAGCATTTTTACTTGGTAAGACTTTTAGATCTAGAAATTACCATCCTTTGGTTCTGGAAAATTTCCTTCTATTATTTCTTTGATAAATTCCTTACCATTTCCTTTGTTATCTTCTGCAGTAACTTCTAGCATTTTGGATATTGGAGCTCTTAGTATGATCTTCTAATTTTCTTGCCTTTTTTGCTTATGTTTGTATATTTTTGACTTTTCGTCCTTTTCTCTACAAGATTTGCTCAAGTATATTATTCAACCTTTATTGAATTTTTAATATTTGTTCCATATTTTTTTTTATTTCCCAAAGCTCTTTTTTAATACTCTGAATCGTTCTTATTTATAGCATCCTGGTTTCATATCATAAATGTAGAATCTTCTCTTACCTCTCTTGGGATAACAAATATAGTTTCTTTGAAATTTCTCTAGCTCTCTGTATGGTCTTTTTATCCTCTGGCTTCCTTTTTCCTGTTTGTTTTGGTGGCTGCCTTTTATGTTAGTCTTATCTAAAAAATCAAGTAATCTTTGGTTCCATTCCAACTTTAGCAAAGTAGTAAAATGCTGGTTTGAACATATCTGTGTACGAGTGGGGTTTGTCAAATAGTAGGCTTCCGTAAGGGAAACAGGGTGTGTGCTATTCTCCAGACTGCTAGTGTTATGGGGAAATCTTAAATGTCCATTCTTGTAAACCTTTTCTCTTGAGTGGGTCATTTCCTCAGAGAGAACGCCTTCCCTCTCTTGCCTGAGTGGGAAAAGAGAGATGTCTGGTGCTCTGGGAGGTGAAAATGGAAAAGAGACATGGGAGTTTCTGTTTTTATATGAAACTTTCACTTATTCCCCATGTTTGCATGTAACACCAACACCTCCCTCTGCTTTGCCTGCTGATACAGACACCAGGTCCTCTGTTGTGCATCCTCTCCAGAAACTAAATCTTCAGCCTTCAGCTTGGGGGGAAGAAGGAACATAAAGGGTCCCATCCTCTCATTTTAAAGGCAGGCAACCAAGCCAATCCCGGACTCAGACCTCACTCTTCCTTTCAGAGGTACATATTACCTTCAATTCCTGGCTCCCAGAGGTATATTAAATGAGTAGTGCATTGTTCCTTTTTGGCTTTCCACTCTACCCTTCCAAACACCTAGCTGCCAACTTTTTCTGTTCAACACAGTCTCCTACCATTTGCTTAGCTGTTTGCCCACTTCCAACTTTTTTGACATGGCGCATCTGCTCTCATCTCCTCTCACAATCTCTTTCTCTTGTGTGTTTGTGCCTTTCCTGCCATTTAATGAAGTTTGTAGAGAAAGTGCAAATAAACACATGTGGTCAATCTGCCATGTCAAACTGGAAATCTCTGGTAGCTTCTAAACAAGTCTGCCCTCTAACAATGTAATATCTACAAGAGACACGAGAGTTCGGAGTCAAGAGTGAAGTAGCATTGTGTGTGAGAGTTCAGGTGTAGTCGAGTTATCTTACGCTGCTCTAATTGATAATGATATTAGTAACAATGACCTTTAGAGGTGCTGATGAAGATGTGGATGAGGAAATGTTTGCAGAGATGTTACACAGACTTCGTCATCATCATCGCCCCCATAGGTAGAAACCAAACTTATATCAACCCACTGGCAATTCTAAACTAAAAACTTTTTCTGGGTTTGTCATCAGGTAGCACACGATCCAGT